TTTTTATTTTTGCATGTTATCACTGTGCCCGTTTTTTGCTTTCATTCTTTGTTCCGCAAAGTGCGCTCTTTTAGTTTGTAGTGATGTGACAATATATATGAGTCGGTGAAACTCGGACGAAACAGTTTGTCACAGCCCTTCGTTTGTTGTCCTCTTCTCTCTCTCTGCCTACGGTTTACCGGGCAGTTCTGTTTGTGACGATATCGCGGAAAGATCACGACCAAATCTACAGGCCCTTCAATTTGCAGAGTTGTGTAGTCATCCTTTTGAGCGCAAAAAATCATGGAAGTTGGGGAACTTTTCCCGTTGGCCAACACGTGCCAGAATGGCAAAAATGAAAAAAGCAAGGAAACAGCGTGGCATTTATTTCACGTTTTTTTTTTTTTTTTTTTTKTTCCCTGGAAAGATCACAACCTAACCTACAGGATCTCAAATTTTCATGTTTTTTCTTCAATTCGTTTGAGCGCGAAAAATCGTCAGAGTTGTCGCTTGAAAATTGAGGGACTGGACCCACCTGCCACATTGTGCAACGTTAGGGTTTGGACACAGAGGCACATCCTGACCTGCCAGCTGCCTGACGTCAGACACTTCATAAAGAAGCAGTCCCCCAAAACACATAGGGACTCAGTCGACCTGAATGGTTATCAGATCAGGCAGTTGCATATCTCAAATATGTGCGTGGGTTCGTGGGTTCAAACCCTGACGACAACCATTGGCAGTGAACTTCATAATCTTAATATGTGGGTGGGTGGGTGTGTGCGTGCGTGTGTGGGTGGGTGGGTGGGCGGGCGGGTAGGTGGGTGGGTGGGTGGGTGCCTGTGCCCGCCTGACCACCCTGATGCATTTTGTCATCTTGCCACAAAAGAAAAAGACAAAAAAGCGAGCCACAAAAGAAAAAGAAAAAAAAGCGGGAAACGACGAAAAAAACACAAAAAAAAAAGCAGGGCCGGGGCTCCGCGAAAAGCCACAAAAGAAAAAGGAGCAGGGCCGGGGCTGCGCAAAAAGCCACAAAAGAAAAAGGGAAAAAAGCGGGAAACGACGAAAAGCCACGAAAGAAAAATAATAAAAAGAGGGAAACAGCAAACGCACGGCTGCGAAACAGACTACGCAAAATTCGTGAAACGACGAATGAAGAACAAAAAGAAAATGAATATCCATGCGGCTTGAAACAGACGGAACAAAACGAAAAAGAAAAAGAAAAAAAAAGTCCGCGCCGCCCGCTTATCGACAGCAGCCGCTTCAAGATATTCTATCGCCTCTACGCCCGCCGCTGTCCGGCCCCATGGGCGCTCACTCACATTTGCTGGCGCGCTGTGAACAATTCGGTACGCGCACTGTTCTGCACGCCTCCCCGCCCTCGATCGCCTTCATCCGCCGGCCCGCACCAAAACTTCAGCTCGATTTCGGAGCGCAGCGGACCATCGACCTCCCCCCTGCGGCCAATGCTCCTTAGGGGATAGGATAATAATAATAATGATAATAATAATAATAATAATAAAATAATAATAAAATAATAATATAAGTTAATAACAATGAAAGAATGAACCAGAACCAATAAAACCCTAACACAAAAACACTATAAAACACAAAAACACTATAAAACACAAACACTATAAAACACAAAAACACTAGGAACCCTAACACAAAAACACTTTCCGAGTTTCATTACTGATCCAAACATGTCAGAACTGGACCATGACGTACCCTAAAGCACATACATATCACACAAAAAGTAAAACAAGGAACAAAGCAAAAAATCAGCACATGATATGACAATTTCAGTGGAAAATTCGCCGAAAATAACACCCCCGGTTAGCCACCTGTGGAGAGAGCTTGCATAGGTGTGTGTGCACACGTCTGAGAACTCATGAGAGAGAGGAGAGTAAGGTGTGTCAGTATGGCATAAGCTCTGCAATCAAGACATATGCATCATTATCCAGCATCACGTGTTTGGAAAATCTCTCTTTGTCTCTGCATATTGAAGCTCTGCTGTGTACAGCCCCTCCATTTGATGCAGGTGAATCCGCAATGGTCAACTAGTTGATGTGCTTTTAAACAGAGGTGGCTCTGTCTGTGCAATCCCTCCAAAATCGTAACTCCTTTTTGTTCCTGGCATTTTTGCAGGTATTGAAAGTTTGGATGAGCTTGTGATGGCAGTTGCCAACCGCACGGGTCTGGATATGAAATCAACAAATGCCCCACACATCATGGTGTGTGCGCCACTTGTGTTAATTATGCTCTTCTTAGCTAGCATGGACTTGAGAGGTTTGATGGATGTCTTGTCGTACTCTTTCTCTTCACATCTCTCACAGCTCTTGAACTTGCGTAAACTTTTCTGGACCTTGGGAATCGGACAATCACTCAATGAGTAATGAGGTCTGATGATGGCCGGGGAAGTGGGGGGTGACTTGGCCCTATGTCAGTGCAGGTAATGTTGTTTGGGTCACCGGACTGGCTGGTATGGGTGAATCTGGTCTTCGCCGGGGTGAGAGAGAGGGTGAAGTCATGGCTGTTCATGATTTTTTTCTTTCTTTTGTGTGTGTGTGTGTGTGTGTGTGTGTGTGTGTGTGAGAGAGAGAGAGAGAGAGAGAGAGAGAGAGAGAGAGAGAGGCTTTGGTTTGTGGTTATTCCTCTGTAAAATGCTGGTTGATAAGATGTCTGTGGTTCCTTGTAGCTTCTAGTTGATCAGCCCGCCCCACGCTTCCTATAGAACTCCACCCCCCCCCCGTTTCCTTCCTTCCTCCCTCTTGTGTACTGCTAGTAAATGCATTCGGATGGTACAGACAAAATATAAGGTGAAGACCTACCCCCTTACTCTGCCTCTTTTATAATGTGCGTGTTGGCCGTTAATGCACACGGGGATGTGGGCAGCTGGTGCCAAATCACAGTCAACATGGCCAGCCTTGTGTGTGAGAGGCAGGATAAAAAGGGAGTTGCAAGAACAAATAGGAGGGGTACCCCAATAACTGGCAATAAGGTAACCCTTGGTCACTATACACAGGGCAGGGTAAATGACTGTCTTGGGTAGAGAAAGGAGTATTGAAGGTGGAGCACCTATGGGACGGCGAAAAAAGATAATGGAAGTCAGTCAAGGAAATGCGGAAAGAGCTCAAGGGCTGTCACAGATTAGCTTCTAATCTCAGCCTGATCTTAGAAAGCATCCCTTTAGCATGGACTCGCCTGCTGAAGGAGGAATTCACCTGGAAACACGGGGACTGGGGTGTTTCCATTCAAGAGGTTGCCCCAACCATAGCCTACCGCTTTGTGAAACAGGTGGGAACGAGGAACCTCGAGGGAAAATTTCTGACATACTCAATCTCGCACGGCCAACACCAAGACTGGGTGATTAACAGGGGGTGCTAAGACTCAAGGGTGGTAGAGGTCTTTACCCTGAGAAAAGTAATGGTACTGATTGTCGAAAGCTGGAAGATCTTCAAACCAATGAAATCAATCAGGGACCTGCAATACAACCCAGGGGAATGTGGATGGATGAGCCAATCCATCAAATCTAAGCGACTAATCCCTGACTCCACGGTCAAGTTTGGTTACAATTTAGGTCTGACGAGTAAGGAGCCAACCCCGATCATCCAGGAAAGATGGAACAAGTTACTGGCACTTACTGCAATCCCCACTCAACGACCCCATAGTTGTCCCCTGGAAGGTACACAAGAGGATAAAACCAATTAAGATCCGTAGCATGCAATGGCTGATAGCTTACACTGCACTCCCGGTCAAAAAATGGCTTCATAACAAAAGAACGAAGTCTGACCCTAATAGTACACCTAACATGCAATCTTTGTAAAATGAGCACCGACGAAGATATCGTCTACTGCCTGTTAAAATGCCCAACTGCAATTAAAGCATGGTCGCGAGTCCCAAAACTATGGTTTTCCTTCTTCACGATCCCCCAACCCACTTCCCCGATTCCCTTACTACTGGCCACCCAGATTCCATCCTACCTGAAAGGTCCCCCTAAGTCCTGGTTCCTTCTGCTACGCAAAGTTACCCTGTGGTCCATTTGGAAGCAGAGGTGCGCGGCGACCATCGAAGAAGCAGAGATCGACCTCGAACACTCCTGGAGCAACCTGATACAGTTGATTGAGACAGAAATCAGACGCAGATGGGCCAGCGTAAAAAATAAAGCTCCGCTGGGAACAGCGACAGCGGGATTTAGAAGACTGTCTTTTTACAAATCGTGGCTCCTGGAGGGCAAGATCGCAATGATTGATGGTGACAAGCTCCGGTGGCGAAGATGGGACCCAATATGGGCCGGATCCTTTTCTGACATAGGCCGGATCCTTTTCTGATCAGTTAATAGATCAACAAGCAAATTTAGGCAGGCAGGTGGGAAGGGGATACATCACTCTACATAAAAGCAATCAACGCCGCCCCCTCGGATCTCTCAACCGTAAAAAGAATATATAAGCGGACTATGAAATGAGGTGCAGCAAAATACACTGCGAAACCTGACAGAAGCCCAGGAATTAAGGACGAGAGTAGAACAAACTGCCCTGGGACAAGGAAAGGGGGCAACTATCGACAGGCAACGGCTCCTATTCAAATGAAGTTTCAGCGCACACCCCGTAGATCAGAGGAGTGTCAGCAACAGTGGAGAGCAACACCAGAGAGCATACCAACCCCGCAAAAGGCCTGGATGTTCCAAGAAGGATACTAAGTTTGCCCGCAAGGGTGTAGACACAGGCAGGCGGGCAACTAGAGTTTAGGGTTTGAGGCAGGAGGGGCAAGCCCCCTAATACAGGATTAGCCAAGCTAGAGGAGTCTGGATAACGGGCAGTCGGATCTTAGAATTGATGCTGCCAAAGGAAAGGCAAACCTCTGTCCTGTGAACGTTTAGGGTTTTAGCACCCAAGCTTCGCAAAGGAAGTACAAGATTGGCTAGAAGAGAATTGCTTATGAGAATGTTTATTCTGGGGATACACTGTTGGGGGTAGGGATCTGCTTTGAAGTATGGGTGTNCTAGAAGAGAATTGCTTATGAGAATGTTTATTCTGGGGATACACTGTTGGGGGTAGGGATCTGCTTTGAAGTATGGGTGTCAGTGACAGTCAATCCTTCCGCATTGGAGTTAGCAGAATAGAAGTTAGCAGGAGTAGAGGTAGACAAGGAGTTTAGGCATTCATTGGTGCTGATTAAAGTTTAACTCGGGTCCCAATGGGTCCTGTCAAAAGCATAGCACTGGGTAATGCTCCCAGATCCGGTCTTTATGTGGGGAGCCCGGCCCCTCGTTTTCATATGAAAAGTTTGAAGAAGAAAAAGGAAAAAACTTCAAAAAGAAGAAATGTCAAATTTGCAGGAAAAAAAAGGGGTACCCTAATAGCCCAAGCGGGCTAGCTCAGTTGGTTGAGCATATAAGTGGCACTCAGGAGGTCATGCGTTCAATACCTAACGTCGTCCTTGCAACCCCCGCTGCCTGCTGGTGGATTCTTTGGGTTCACCAGCGGAGATTGTTGGCTTGGGCCTCCTGACTGGTTGTCTTTTTAGCTCGCGCCAGGTGTCAGGAGCTTGGTACTGCTCCCCGCACAGCGCAGAGATAGGTAGACAAAGACCCATAACCTTAGGATAGCTTAGTTCTGGGTACTAAATTTAAGGTAGTCTTAGACCCTAGCCCTAGACCCTAAGTGCTGGTCTCGAGGTGTAGAAAACGGGATTGTGGTTGAACTAGTGCAAAGGCAAGGTAAGTCTCCATACTAGATACGTGAGTGGACACGATATTGAGAGAAAAAAATGTAGCATAGGTAGGTAGGTAGTGTGGGGTAGGCACAATATTGAGAGAAGAAAATAGGGTAGTAAAAATACAGCTTGTCCCCCGTATAGGAGGAGAAGACAGCTGTAATTAAAAAAAAAAAAAAAAAAAGAAGGGGTACCCCAATGAATTCCGAAGTAAAGGTAGCCAAGAAAGGGATATAGCGGCTCTATTCTGCTCCATGTTGCTTGCCATAGAGGTTGAGCTCTTTCATTGTTGGAATGGCTTACAAGTGTGCTTCATTGTCTGCAGTAGAGGTAAAGTTGCTTTGATTTTGGATCTACTCATCTGGGTAGAACAGGGGCTGTTGTGGTGAAAATCTAATACTCACACACACACACACAGCATCATGCTTAAATAACGGTGCATGGCTCATCTCAATTGTGCTTCATTGTCAGCCTTCCATACTGATGAGTCTGATGACATGTCAGCACCATGGCATCTGTCGTCAATGTTTCCAGGAAGCTGTCATAGAAAGTAGGTGTCTTTACTGCGTTGACTATCCCCGGTGCCATCACCCGCCACATCCTCTCCTAGCATGTCCCATATGTGGTGTTGGTCATACACCTGCGGCAACCACAGACGGATCTTCCTCTTCCTTGCCAGATGAATGACAGACACAGCAGCCCGAGGAGGAAAATGGACTTCTATTTATGTGAATCACCTGCAGAGCGATGTGCTGACAGTTTATCACCACCAGAGCGAGCTGTTGCAGACCAAATCCTGCAGCAGCTGAACACCCTTGTTTTGGAACGATCCTCCCTGGCGTTGTCTTCCCATAGAGAAGGAATAGATACTGAGGAAACCCAAGAAAGATGCTCCATGCTGCTTTGTGATGACCCGCCGGAGATTCAACTAGCAGGTGGTTCACATGCCTTGTGCTGTGAGGATTATGAAGGGATAGTCCGTGTGAGTTTTTGCTTTCATGTACAGCGCACTGACATGTCATGTCCAATTTGTAGACGGGCTGGAATGAAATGGTTTTCACCTTTCTGCAGTCACAGATGCGGGCCCTAGAGTTCGATCCCCAGACTTCGTCTTACCCATGTACAATATTGAGTTGACCCCCGAGTATTTGAACCCGCAGCCTGTGTTGTGGTAGTTGGTTGTTGTCTGTTGTAGGTCTGTGTAGTTGTAGGGGTTCGATCTGTAGGTCTGTTGAGTAGGGGTCACAGCTCTGTAGAGCTCGTAGCTGTAGATGTCCTGAAGGGTCAAGGTTGTAGCTGCTACAGTCCTGAAGGGTCAAGGTTGTAGCTGCTACAGTAATCGAAAGGCCAAGTCCGCAGACTTCCGGAAGGTCCGGAAGTGGCCTTTCGAAAGTGTCTCACGTTTAGTCTGAGGCAAATGGGCAAGTGGTGAGCCCAATGGCACTGAGTCGGCAGTGCGGCTGCATTGAGTTGGCAGTGCAACCCCGTGCAGTCAGCGGTACCAGTCCCAGTTAGTCGC